AGTTCTTTGCTGAACAACAGAAACACAGCCTAGTCAAAGTGAAAGAGTGATGTGATCGTCGCTCTTTCTATAGTATAGATGCTATTCGAAGGGTTCCTGCCCCACATGTACCTGTGTCAAGAGGATGTCTGTAATACAGCCCGAGCTGTGTTAACTGTTCAAACTAGTATTCTAAATAGGGTCACAAATACAAGTGTAGCCACATTTGCATTTGATATACTTAAAATATTTACCACAAAGCTTGTGGCTGAGTTTAAATTAACTTCACATGAATAAAAGAGAAAACGAGCATCACTGTTTGTCGCACTCAAACCCAAGTCTAAACCATAGCTGTAACACGACTGCTAATACAAACGTTAAGATTCCTACAGTTGCTTCAATTTAAAAGCCTCCATTTGGTAAGGAGGCTTTTATAGTGAAGCAGCCCCAGAAAAGTCAACGTGGGAAAATATCAAATCACTCTTTTTTTCTTTTTTTTTTTTTAAATCTGCAACAAGCAAACTGAAATCTTTATAATAAAAACTAACATTTTATACGTCCTTCGCCACGTTCTCGCCATCAGACATAGAAAGTGGAAAGGTGTGTGAACATTAGGGTTCAAGTTGCAGATTAAATCAAACTAAATGAAGTTACCTGTCCACATAGATAACCTACAACCCTGTTATAATAATTCAGAGATTAAAAATATAACACACATTTATTTAAAAAAAACAATGCATAGCATAAACATCGTTGCAAAAATCCAGCCGCACTGCACGCCATACCTAAACCTCAGCCAGACCGTTTGTTTCAGAGACAGGTGTCTGGAGCGCTGCTTTTCTTTTTGCAGGTGGAGTCTGCTGCTTAGGCTTAGAGAGAGAGCAGAGGCGAAAGTCTAAAGCTCTCCTTTAAAAAAATGGGGGAGGGAGAAGAAGAAAAGAAGTGAGGCATTTTTAGGATCTTCGGGGTGAGGAACAGGACCAACGGGAAGATTTTGGACTCTGCTCTAAAAGAAACAAACAAACAAAAAAAAACACTGCTGCTCAGGAACTTGGCTCCTTCAACTCTGCTGTCTCAACGGTACTCGTGTCAAGAGGAGGCTCTCTCTCTCTCTAAGTGTCCTCTTCCTCTTCCTCGCCCTGGTTGCCCACCACCCGCTTCCTCAGGGCGTCGTCAGGGAAAGCCTGCCCCCTGGGTTCAGGGCGGCCCTCGGGAGATCCTCTCCGCTTTCTCCAGACCTCGTCGTGGTCCTCTTCTTCCTCCTCTTCGTCATCTTCCTCGCCATCAGCCTCAATGGCATCCTCTTGTTGCTGGATTAATCTCGCCTGATCCATAGTCTGTTTCTCTGCACAGCAGCATTTGGAGCAACAGTCAGTATCTTACTGTATATAACATAAATGTGAATTAGTATTTAGTCTAATCTATTACAAAACTCACTCTGGTAGTAATCGTGAGAAGAGAATCTTCTTGAGGGGAAAACGAAATCTGCAATGAACACCAGTAACTGCAACAGACAAGACAGGATTAACCGTTAAACCACTGGGAATGTGTGCATTTGTGATGAACGATGTAAGAGCTTCAAAACAGAATCATTTCGGTTTCATAATGACAAAGCGCGGCAAAATTACTCACCAGACCCAACGCCAGGCCAGAAAACAGAGTGGCCAAGCCGAAGATAACATATGATCCCCAAACGGGAATCCCCAGCTTCTCCGTCATG